ACACATGTCGAATTTTAATAAAACCAATAAGATTTTGGTTTTTTGAGTTTATATTTAACGAATTTAATTCCATAATAGCGTAGTTAAATATATTTATCCGGGGTAAGTAACTGTATTGTCGTAAATGTCCTTGAGTTACCATTGATCTGCAAAGTAATGTAATTTCCGAATATCCCATATGTGGGACATGTGCCCGACACTCGTAAACAAAAGAAGAACAGAAGAGAGTTTTATGCAAAGGACAATTTACATTCTAGGTAATCTGAGACTGGTGTCTGCTGATTATCACAATTTTCACTTATCAGGATATAATCGTTAGGGTAAATGGAAGTGTTCTGAAAATTTGATAAATAATTATTATTGTTCGACCTTACAATCTACCAACTTCCCATTTTAATATAGAGATAGGAAATCCTGAGATAACGGCAATCATAATTTCGGCCACAGCAAAGGACGTTGTTAGGTATTTTATATACTGTCTATAGTTTACGCGAGTAGTACACTGAAATCTGGTACACACATTTAATTTAGATGACAATACAATACATAATAATAAAATCAACATTATAAATCCAAGATGGCCGCCGATACAAAATGGCGGATTACATATTTTCTTCATCCATTGAAAAGGACTATTAAAATACAATGATTATTTAAATAAAACACTTTAACGGTTTAAAACGCGATATATTAGCTAAACATATTTGAAAAAGATTTTCTCCCCGTGACCACGGCTGCTGCAAAGCATCCGAAACGTCGGGCCGAAGTTAAAAATCATTTTCAAATAAGTTTAACTAATATATCGCATTTTAAACCGTTAAAGTGTTTTATTTATAGGTATTTTATAGTTCAGTCCGCAGAATATTTTGTAATAGTTTGGCTGTGTAATAATAAAATTTGGTATATTTAAAACATTTAGTAATAATGTTAATTGATAACTAGTTTTATATAATAGAACTATTTAACTCCGCTTATGCAGAAAATGCGTTGATAAAATATAAATGATGTGTTTAAAATTCAAAATCTAAGGACGGCCAGTTAAGAAAATGCTTGAGATTTTTTGTGTGACTTTCATAAATCAATTCATGATTTCAGAAATAAATTAATATTTAAATGTCGTTTAAAATATATTCTAATTATAAATATACTTCTAATTCAACTAGAGACAGGCGTTAAACACCCCTTGTCTTTTATTTTACAAACGACGTGTAATGTGTATGTAAAATGATAATTCAATCTGGTTATATGACTTTACCGTTTTTAAATATTTGAATGACTTTTGCGTAATTGCTCAAAACATAATTCATTAATTAAGATTGTTTAGGTGTCTTTTTTTATCTTATATTGATTGTTTAACCAAATTGACTGATAATATATAGATAATGGTATTGCGCACGTCAGCTTATTTGCAAGGCATAAATAAAACATTGAAAGAAATAAATATCGTATGTACAGATTTGTGGGTCCAGTAGCAAGATTGTGTAACTAAAAATAACACATATTTTAGCAGCAGGTCTTGAGCTGGCATCCACAGTGTTACGTGTTGCTCTAACGGCTAACCAATTGAGCTACCAAATCCTACAGTCATCGTCATAATTTTCAACGTCTTGATACATGCACCTCTCGCGCAATATAGTTTTAACCTTAATACTTGCTCATTGAGGTTCAATGTCTTATGCTTTGCAGCTTAAAAAGTAATTAAAAATGAAATTATAGTTTAATTTGTAACAATAACTTGTAAGTCCTATTCCTAGACAATGTCGGGCGAATGTGGTCATTCAATGCGTAGGAGTTGGAATTGTCCGTCCAACAAAGAAAAATCCGTTAGTATTAATCAGTGGAAACCTTTTGCGCAAATCACAGAACAAGTTTAAAAACTTTAATATTTACACATGAAGGGCCAATATTAATTAAAGCAACAGCACGGAACGCTTTGAATGCCGGTTCAGGTCAGGCCCGCGGCGTTAAATATTTTCAACCTAGAATTTATTTTTAATTTAGACAATACATAATTCGCTTTTCCTGTGCCGAAAACTCTTAATTTGTTCTCTAGTTTTGGGAGATAGGGAATATCAGGGACGTCTCGCTCTATAAGACCAGATAAAGGAAACAAAACGAAATTGTAAAATACTTTATTAAAATAATAAATAAATTGCCATAGTGAGTTAGCAGAATGTTTGAGCACTGTGACGCCCGCCCCGCGCTACAACCCTCTGCCTCTCAACAACACTTAAAGCGTACACAAAAACGTGATACCAAAGAATAACCCCGACACTGACATCGCATAGAAACAGCACGCTGGACTTTGTATATTAAAGCATAAGGCTGCGGTCACATATACGCGCTATAGTCGCGAGACTATGCACAACTTCGCCAAATTTGGCGCTAGCATCCTTTTTCGAATACTACTGCGTTTACAGGAGACCACAACCTTATCCAAATCCAATTCATTATGTAGTCCATTTGTTTGCAAAGTTGAACTAATAAAGCACATCTTTTATGATCGTGTTATAATGTTCTGTCTCGCTTTCTCATAGGTGAGAAAAAGAGACAAAAGATTATAACGCGATTTATACAAGATAGTTACTTGGACTACACTTGGTAGCCGTCAGTGTCTTCGAAGCTTTCCATCCAACGACCATGCACACCCGTATATTAAGATTTTATTGACGCGAATCGGTCGCTACCCTATAACCGCACTAACTATAGACTGAAGGCATGCTGGTGTTAATTTTATACACTAAACACTTATAGTAGAACACTTTGTAAACTTGTTCGTTTATCACTAAATATTTGATCAAACTTATCGGTATTGTCGTATGGAGATTTGAAGGTTTCCAGGATACGACGCAAAATATACATAAAGGTCAGATAACAACACGATACAACACTTTGCGAACGACATCATTTTGATTAATTCGTCACTACGGGTTAAGGTCGGAAGCGCGAATTTCAACATTCAATTCGTCAACCTGTCAACACGAGCACGGAAGTTTACCTGTTAAAGTTCAAAGTCGTTCATTAAAATTCCGTCGAGTATTAAAAAATGTAAACTTTCTAACAAAACCACTATGCTCTATGTCTCTATTAACAACAGATCTATTTCTATGGATTCCGGTAATATTATGAGTCGCAGTACGACAGCGGATGTTTACTCTTCATAGAGTCTCAGGCCATAAGTGGACATGGAAAAATAGTCTTCGTTATCTTCATACTCTTATTTTCAACGTTTATACTAACAAAATTTTATTGAAAAAAAATGCAAGTTAATTGTCCGCTAGTAGTCCGAAACGGACATTCCCCTTCAATTTGAAAGATTAAAACCCGCCGCCGCAACGCGCCGTCTAGTGTCTATCGCTATACAATACGCCTATGTCCTGCAAGCTTCACAAGCTACGGGTATGCATAGTTCACTTAAAACTAAAATTGCGAATACCATTTCGTTTACAAAATAAAATTTCTCATCCGACCACGATCGAAAAGGTGACATAGATTATAAAAATGACAGTAGTTCAGTTTGTTTTATGAAAGAAATTCCCATTTATCGAAAACTCCTTCGCTTGGCTCTGATTCGTGTAAATTTCCTCCTTAAAACCGACTCACATCTCGAAGACTGTATAAATATTTTTATTGAAATACTCGAGTAAATAGTTATGCTGGAGCGAAGAACCCACTCTGTGGTAACATCCATTAAACCATAAGCTATTAAAATGCAATAAAATTATATTTACACAAACAAGCTAATAATACAAGAATAAGTAATTATGTTAACTAAAATAATTAAAACGCGATCTTCGGATCTTCAAATGTATAGAAATGCCCATAATCTTGCCTCAAATTAAAAAAAACTGAACAGCTGTGATTAAAAATTCTTGACTTGACTTGACCATTTTACAATCTTTGTGCACATACTAGTGGAATGATCGACATTTCAAATTAAATCACAATTTAAAGAAACATATGATTGTATGTCTATAATGATGATTAGATTTTGAAAATTGTTAACAGTTTCAAACGTGAAATAAATTTGTCAATTTACGACCCACCGTTTTGGATGTTTTTTTACTACTATCGGCTTTTTAGAGGACAGACAAGCATCGCCTTCACTTGATGGTAGCTGAAATACCCCCCCGTCCTATTTTGGCTTTGGATTTTCGGATCTTCTACTACCACTAGCCGACGGTTGAAATGCTAATATTTCGCGTTTTAAACCGAAAAGATTTCATTTAAATTGTAACCAATGGATCGTATTAAAAACTTGAAGTGTCAATATGTAATTAAGTTTACCACAAATTGTTTTAGCAACCACACAACATAATTCAGTTAAGCCTTCGTGCACATTGTAATTATTATAAATGCCATCTATCATGTTGCAAGGATCTTTGATGAAAGCACAAGACGTGACTCGCTGTTTTATACACCTACAGATTTCGACACTTCTGCGAAAGCTCTGAGGTCTAATCATCAGTCAGAAATGAAATTATTTCAAATAACCTTGAGCCAAGTGTAATATCGCTTATGGATAGTATAAGGATGGCGAAACAAGTATGAATAAGACGATAATTACAATATAAGGGTTTTGAGTTTAAAAAAAAAGTTTTACAAAATGTTATCGTACAGAAGTAATGAGTTAGGTTTATTGAATGTCAAATTGAAATGTTCTGAGAGAAATGGCCATTTCAAAAATCAACAATGTTTGTTTTTACTGCAAGGACGAAATTCAAAACGACACAAAACGATACATACATGATAGTAGATACTAAGGTACGTATTTAATATAGAAAAATAATAAAATAGTTTTAAAACGTGCTATACCCGAGAAAACGATAGAATCGGTTCAATTCCAATAACTCAAAACACACTAAGCTCAAAATAATGCGTTCTCAACCTTCGTGAATTGAGTGCGTTATATGCACTGCTAGCAATACGGGCATCGGAAATATTCAGAAAAGTCCATAGTATCTATTAAAGCTATGAATTAAGCTATGTGCGCGGGCGCACTACGTCACGGGCCGCCGGCGCACGAACGCGTCGGCCGCTGAAGACGCGTACGAGTTGGGCACGGATGAATCCTCTTGTTTGTAGCCGTTCTTACCGCTCAGCGAGCTGTCGTCAGCTACCGACTGAAAGGAAATCAGGAACAGCTTAATAAATGCATATTTATGAGATTACTTTTGACTATTTTCGGGGTAAATAGTAATTTATCAAAATATACAACTTTTAAACTAAACACTGTTGCGAATATAGTAAATTTATGTTATATTGTGATAGAGGAGGACAAACGTGGAGTTCACTCGATGGAAGGTGAAATGTCCTAGTTATAACATCTCAATGATTATAATCGGAAATCCACAGTATAAACGAAACGCGGTTCACGGCTTTTTCATCGGTGTTAGTTGTATGTTGGGTTAGTGAGTTACAAAATGTATTGTCCTGTATGTATCAACATATATGATTCACAAGTTTAACTTCTGGCGGACGCTTGACGCTAAAATATTTTCTTTAAAATACCATTTATTTATCGACGGAGCTCTACAATTTATTGTTTGGAATAGTAATCGCTAGTCATAAGATATAGCTAATCGTGACTAGTTAGCGAATAAATTTAACAATCAGCTGATATAAGTGACAAATGGTCTATTGGCATGTTATTTTTGGAGTGATAACATTGATTTATCTATGTATATATTATATGGTTATCACTCAGAATTTCAACTACGACGAGTTTTTTGTCGGCTATTAGATTATCTGTGTACTATATATATATATACGAAAATAAAGATATTTCGCTCTATTAATTATTATAATACTAAATCATTAAAATTGTATTATTGGGTTTTAGATATGATAAGAGAGTTGTACTTTTTGTGTTTCTTTGATGCCTAGAGTTCTGCGCGGACGATGTCGCGGGCATAGCTGCTTATTTTTTTTTACATTAAACAAGTGTCTCACCATACACAATCCTTGGTTGAGCCTGGCCTTCCTCTCGCCCTTGTTGTAGCGCGCTTTGTAGAAGTCTGTGAAGAGGAAGAGGAAAAGAAAGCCGTGCATCGCGATCCAGTAGACGAAGACGCGTGGGTACTGGCATGACGGTCTGAACAGCACTTGCAGTTGGTGACTGAAGATCAGCACGAATTGTACCTATGGACCAGAGAATAATATTAAGTTCAATACTATGTAGTTATAAGGTTTTTAGCCTATTACAAATATGAATATCTTATGATATAATAGTGATGGTATGTGAGGTAAAAATAGACACACTTCTGTATACTTTTCTTAGTTCGTTTCTTTTGTCATGTTTTTCTTAACATTTGAACCCAGGACATTTCACGCTAACGCAATCTATATATAATGTATTTTGTTTATTAAAACCAAATTTATATAAACTCTTACAAACTTGTAATGCGTTGCAGCTGTGGTTACGGGGAGACGGTTGCCGGAACCTTGAACGTTAAGATGTAAATATGTTTAACAAATACATTTCGTGTTTTTAACCGTTAAAAGTCTCTTATTCAAATGTCTACAGACAATACTTAGACCGAAAATTTGGTCTATATTTACAACGAATTTTGAATGTGAACACAGCTTAAGACATTAACGACACGAACAAAATAAGGACGATGCAATAAGCTATTATACTTTTGTCTGCTCAATAGGCGAAATCGACCTACATTCTGCAATATTAATATTAATAAGTTATGACACTAATATTATTCCATAAGCATCCTATTAACAAATTTTTGGCGCGTCATGCTCTGCTTATCTGAACTTGCTTATCCTAGAGACGCGATCTTTTCGTTACGGACATCATTAGAAATCTAATTATTAATAGCGTTTGCCTGCTAATTCAGAGAATACGCGTAAACTTAAAAAATACGACTCGGGGAGGACTTGAACACTTTTCACAGCTTTTCGTTTCTAACCAATTGAGCTACCGAGTCTTACACGTCATCGAATTTTTTCAGCGTGCACCTCTCGCGCGATGTAATTTCAACTTTAACGATTACGAATTAAGGTTCAATGTCTTCTGCTTAGCAGCTAAAAAAATCATTGAAGTACAAAGTAATTTTTAATTCATATAGTGCCATCATGTGCATGTGAATAACATGTGAAAAAATATTAATATTAATTATTACACTAACTTAGATTTCTTGTCATAGTAACCACTTGACTGTAAGTTTCGAAATTGAATTTGAAATGTACGAAATACCAACTCGGGGTATGAATGCTTGAGGTATCATCAACTTCGTCACACAGAAAGTAGTTGAAGCAAGTTCTAGTTACTATTACATCTATACTAATAATTTTATTAGGCTGAAGATTTTGTTTGTTTTTTTTTGAAGGCATTAATCTCGAGAACTTTGACCCAGTGGTCAAATTGATAGATTCTTTTAAGGGAGGCTTCAGCCTATACAACGGTGTGACCAGAAGGAGCGAAAAAGAGTGAAAAAGTGAAAAAAACAGGGAAAATTAGTTATCTTTGATTTTCGTTGCGCGCGCTGCGAAAACTGTTTAAAATACCCAAAAAATACATATGAAAATACAGTATCACTCTTATTACGAAACGAGGACTAACACTGAAACCTGGTTTATTTGAAATTCTTATTACAAAACGAAGCATAACGTTTGTACTGGACTAAGTATGGTACTAACTTACTTAGATTAATTTAGACCATGGTTTAAGAGTTAAACCAAGACTCCGCAGTTCTGGTTTAAGTACTTTATTGTAATCAGGGTGTATGTCTATCTTTTAAGATTAACTCCCAACAACGACGGGACGTTGTGGATAAAAGCTAAAATTTATAAAGATGACTCTTGATGCACGAAATGACCATTCTACGGCACAGCTAGTTATTTATACGAACAAATGAATAAATAAGGCAATTCTCTCATGCAACATTTATTTTATTTTCATGGAAACTTTTGCTATGCAAATTATTTAAATAAGGAAATAAGCATCGGTATGCAATTGCGAGTGGACGACCTTATATTATCCATGCCATTGAACTAAACGCACTAAGATTTGTCGTCCGTTAAGGAAAAATATAAAGGTGGTCTTATGTGTTCTCTAATTTCTGCTTAAACTATTAAAATATAAATTCCGTTTCCTCAATCACGACGTGATGATAAAAAATATCTTTATTTTATATTGCTTTTAAATCGTTGAATTCTTCTCAAATCGATAGTGTAAGAATGTTAATATTTTCGAATATGACGCTCAGATCACGACTAAACAGGTATATTTACTTATTTTTTATTTGCGGTGATGATACTTTTGTTCTAGAAGGTTCTAATGTCGATTCGAATAGGCCTCGCGAATGTAAGATTTGGTAACGTGTTACATAAGATGGCGTAAAGACGAGTAACAGCTTTCATTATCAACCAACATTAAGAAATTTCGCATAATGTATTTACTAACTGCTTCTCTTTCCAGAATTATGCTATTTCAAGTCCAATTTTTAGCTCTTTTTAATATAATAGTCCTAGTTAACTACTGCCTGTAGTTTACCAGAGTACACATTTAAATAAAACATTTTGAACGGTTTAAAACGTGAAATATATTAGTCAAGCTTATTCACGGAATATTTAATTACTGCCCCACGTTTCGGATGCTTTGCAATAGCCGTCCTTTAGACGGCAGGACAAGTTCGCCCGTGTCCACGTTTTGAACCGTTAAAAGTGTTCTATTTAAACATAGTCTTATAATAATAAGGTGTATAGGTGAATAATTTACGTAATTATATAGCAGCTACACAAATAATCTACCGTAATACCGGCATTATTTCTCAAGTTCATGTTATATTTAGATGGACGAAATCCGGATCGGACAAATTTCTGTACCCATTCCTTCTCGATTACCAAAAAGGTTGCCAAGTTACCAGCCTGCATGTATCACACAGAAGTACTTACCATTTGGAAAGCGGTGAGGTACTTCTTCCACCAGATGTATTTCTGGTAGCGGGGCCCCAGAGCTGATACCATGTAGTAGAAGTACATCACAATATGCACGAAAGTGTTTAACAGCGCAAAGAACGTGCTGTGACCACCTGCAAATGAAAAACATATTTTTAAAACAACACAAAGAAACATTGTTTGAATTGTTGAAATTGTTTTTACTAGAAGTTTCTTCGACTTAATAGGTTCAAAAAAAATTAATAAAAATTACTTAAAAATTCTGTTTTAGGAACTAATTGGTTTTGTGTCTTAGGGATTTTTGGCGGGAATTTGAAATATAAGGACTCTAGAAAACAGATAGTTCCCAAAAATAAGACTAGTCCAAGATCCACGCTGTTATGCCGTTGAATATCATTAACAAAAGAGGCACGAAGTCATTATAATAATACTATAAGTCTGGTTATAAGTGAATTAAAGCCAAAATATAAACATCAACAGCTGAATTTTAATTTGTTGCTGAAATAAATGCCAAGATATACATTTTCTCACGCCTCAAATAATGGAATATAAAAATAAACACCGCTGTCAGAGAATTGAAGAATGGTAAAAATAATATTAATTTTAATGTTTAAGTACGCATCTATTGTTTCCCTTCTGTTAAATACATTTAGCTGCAACTGGCAACATTTTAAGTATTCATGTAAGGTCTAAATCGCTTTATGAATTGGCGATTTGTATTTACAGACTACGGTTGCTATATCCATAAGGGCGGGTGCAAGTTTAAAAAAAAACGGCGTTTGAAACAGTTTCAATTGTCGGAACTTCCGAACTAATACAGATATAAAACTTAATTTTATTCCTTTCACTCCGAGAATTCCACTTTTAGATGCAAACTTATGAATCTTTATATCGTTTTTGAAATATTAATAATTCGTAAACTGTCAACCACAAGTACAAATTCAACACACTTCTGAAGAAGCTTAAATAAATATTGTTTCGCGTCAATAGTATTCAAATTAGCTCTTTTTTACCGATTGACGTTTTAAAAATAAATTACACAATTATATAATTTACGAAGTTAACGTCTTTTTGTCTATGTTATTAAAATTTTGGCAATTCCGTATTCTTTCAGGACGGAGAATGACAAACAGATGTACTTGATAGAAGACGGAATACCTCAACCTATTTAAGTTACACAACTTGCAATACGCTATCTTATGGAAATTCGTAAATCCCGACTAAAACGAGGGTAAGGGTTGCCTGGAAGAGATCGCTCCATAGCGATAAGGCCGCCCATTGCACTATATAACTGGTGAGAATAATGTATCTTAAAAATTGTATCATTAAGAATATTTTTAAGGACTCATGTATATATACTTTGTATTTGTTGCAATGAAGAATTAAATAAATAAATAAATAAAACCGAAAATTTTTCTGTACTACATTTGTTTTTATCTTTAAGTATGATGTGCACACGATACTTACATATAACATCAAATAACATGTGAAAAACAATAACGTAATAAAAAAGATGTGTTCACACATCTTTTTTATTTCAATGTCAGTGAAGTAATAATAAAACGGGCTTTCGTGAATTTCGTTACGTTTATAGTTTGCATAAGCGTGACACGAATATTTTAATATAGCAGAAATTACTTTTATTTTGTCGATATTATTTCATTCGACGACGAGTCGTGATATTAAACCAATTCTATCTATCTAAATATTTAAATTTTTAAAGTCATCAAATCAGTATGTATGTTAGTATTTAGACCGCCCCGGGCTTGGCTGTGGGTGAAAAATAAAGTCTATCCCATTCGTGTTTACTATTACTGCATATTGTTAGCTAGGAATTAAACAACTGAACTGAACGTAATAAATTGATTTTTAAAGACCGTTCAATTGATTGTCATAGATTAATCAGACAATTTAAAACAGTGTAAGTTACTTATAGATATAGTATAACTCACAAGCAATAATTAAACGCTATATATTAAATAATAATAGACTTCGGTTAACCACTGTTTTATTGTTTTTAATAAATAATTTATAAACGATGAGTGAATTTTCTGGAATTTTCATTCAACAATGTATTTAAGTGTCAAATAAAACACTTTAACGGTTTAGACGCGATATATATTAGTTATACTTATTTAAAAAATGTTAGCTACGGCCCGACGTTTCTGATGCTTTGCAATAGTTGTGGTCAGTCTGTCAGACTCCTCGTGTCCTAATAACGCGTTTTAAACCGTTAAAGTGTATTATATATTAATACCCGCGTAAACTACTGACAGTATTAAAGTGTCAAATAGCTAATAACAACGTAAATTTTCAATCTCACACATTGTAAACTTAATGTTGCGCTTGCGCATGGTAAAGGGCTATTTGAAAAACACAAGCTTCAATTACATAAACTCGATATAAACGGAACAAAAACATGGATACAAAGCTATTTTAGTCACTAGGTCAGATTTGCGCCCTAATATTGTAATTATATTTGTTTATTATAAAGTTGAAGACATACCTGGTGCAAATTTGAGCCCGAACCAGACAGACATGGGCATGATGCCGTGGTGGATGACGTGCAGCGTCGACACGTGCTCGTTCTTCTTTCTGAGCACAAAGAACAGCGTGTCGAAGAACTCCGTGAACTTACTGAAGTAGTACCACCAGCATGTGTTGGCCATCTAGAACGAGACTCCCTTGTAACATACCAAAATATTACAATAGACATATAACTACGCAACGGACAGAGCCATGTGTTTATATCTTAGGAAAATGAATAGAGAGTAGATAAGTCCTATTCATGTTCATTCAAAACGTCGGGCCGTTGTTCATATAAATTGTAAGTAAGTTGAAACCAATAAAACTGATTTATTTTAATACGTACTACTCGAACTACAGGCAGCACTTGGCAATATATGATTCGATAAACAGAATATTAGATTGTTTTTTAAAATTTCCTTAATTATTTAAATCTTTTTAAAAATCAAACAGCAAGTTGTTGTTTCAAGAGCCGTTAGAAAAACTGCTGCTCTAATAGTTGAGACACATAGGTTGAGTTAGTAGAACCGGGTTCGATCCTCGATCGTGCACAAAATAAATTTATATATTATAAACTTTCAAATTAAACACTTTAACGGTTTAAAACGCGATATATTAGTTAAACTTATTAAAAATGATTTTTAATTTTTAACTTTTTAATGTCTCCACGGAAACGACGAACGACGAAACGAATTTATATTATAAACTTTCAAACTCAAAAATGCTTACATTAACTTTGCTATTTAAACCATTAAAATTGTTTCATTTAAGTTACTTTCAAAGATACATAAGACATTCAAGTATAATTTTAACAAAGAGAGTCAAAGATATATTTCTGTATAAATTGCTTTTCTTTCATATAACTTTTAATTCACATTGTACTGTTTTCTTCACTATCTAAAAATATGACGACATTACCCGGGGACAGTTACTACTAGTTCCTATAATACAAAAAAATATTGTCTATATATCAATAAAACTAATACTGCTATTTATCATTCTAAGTTTTTGTACACGTCCTGTTTAATATATTATTAATAGTAATAATTGGAATTAGCTACATCATATTTATGACAAATATTATTTAAAATATAATAACTACGTTTACGAAAGTAATATTTGCGATTTGAAATAAAATATACTAAAATATTTCAGCAAGTCTAATAATGGCCAACCGGACACAAGTTTTTTCACGTTACAAAAAGTATATTTAATAAATAAATTATTGTAAACTGACAAATTATAAATACCGATCTCGAAGATACAGCGGGAGATGTGGAAGAAACGGGGAAAATTATTCCTCTTAGAGGGTTTCCAATCCGTAAAATGCGGAAACGAAATAAAAGAATTATTCCATTTTAAATAAAACACTTTAACGGTTTAAAATATATCGGCTAGCGCGATATATTAGTTAAGCTTATTTGAAAGTGATTTTTAACCTCGGCCCGACGTTTCGGATGCTTTGCAGCAGCCGTGGTCACGGGGAGACTTATTCCTCTTTAAAGAATCAAATAAATGTCCGCGACACTATGTCTACCTTTTAAGATTAACTTGCAAGAAATACGGGACGGGATCGATGTCGGGGATAACAGCTTGAATTCATGAAGATAAGGGGGAGGTTTGCAAAAACAAATTTGGATGTCCAAAATGTTCTACGCGGTCTATTCTAGACGTATTGTTATAAAATCCGATTTATCAATTTTCCTCGTCCGACTGGTTCTTAATAGTTCCTGGTTTATATTAAAAAATATTTAAGATGGTAACATCCCACGCATACGTACGCACAATAGCATACAAAGATTAACAGTTGTATTTAAAATAATTATCATTTTCCTATCAAATTTAACGTAGATAAAAAAGTTTTAGATATCTTCAAGGAAGATGTGTAAAGGAAAAAAGTTATATGAGGACGTGAAAACCAGTTTCCAGCACTTTCCAGCATCAGTCATTCAGTCTTGTAGAAAGGGAAATTCCAATTTTCTCCTACGGGGCATGGGGCTAACAAATTTCTGTGTCCGTTGCACTGATCTATTTTATTTACAGGCAAGTACTTGATCAGAATTCGGTGCCCTGCTCTACCGCAATCTATTGTTTATCGGGATTCGGACCCAGGACTACAACCATTTACTTATAGAGGCGGTCTGTTCTAGAGGTGAACTAATTTTTGTTAAGTTTTTTTGGAGATCGATATTAGGTCATATTGCTTTTAGTTTATAATATATGTATTAGTATTGTTTTTTTTGACCTGCCTTAGGCTCATAATAATTAACGAGACGTGAGTTCGTTTCCCATCCGTTGTGATATATTAAAAAAAAATCTGAATTTATAATTTTTATAACACATTTTACACTTCTGGATTTTGGGTGGTACACACGATTACGCACGAATGACGCAAATGCAAAATAGGTCGACGGCCTAGTTTAAATGTTATGTATAACTTACCCTCATAGCTCTGGGACTCCGCGAATAATCGACAAGTTGACATCTAAAGTCATAGTGACCCCACCATCCGCTCGCCATGTACTGCAAGGGAAAATACAATAAGTGCTTATTATAAGCTAACACTAGTTGACCTGACAAACGTTTTTTTGCCATATAAAGTATTTCGACGAAATTTGATTACCATAGGAACGGTTCTTGTGTGTTAATATTATAATAGAGATATATAATGTCGTCATTTTTTTAGATATACAATCGATATAGTATCTTGAACCGTTCTCGCTGCGCACGCAACGAAAACAGTCAAAGATAAACTTTTCTTCCGTTTTTGCATTAGTCACAGTTCGCTATAGCCTTCCTCGACATATGCTCTAAACAACACAAAAATATTTTTTCAATTAAAACGCGTTACCTCAGTTTAACTGTTTATAATACTAGTAAAGATATTTAAAAAGGCGTCAGTTACATAGAACTACACTATAAAGATAAATAGATTTTTATCTTTGGTTTGTTTGTTACATTAAAAGACGTTTTTGTAGACCTTAATATTTGCGAAACCCTATTTTGTTTCCATACTAAACGTCGGTATCGACAGAATTATTTAAAACAATCAATTACAATTAATTTATTCTTTGACAAATGCGACAATTACTTATGTTTTCACAAAACATTGTAGAGTACAAATTAATTAAATCAAAATGCTAATGGGAAGCAATGTATACCGCATTTGAATTACAGTCTTTTGTTTTCACCTCATTCCGTACATTGATTAGCGTTCTGCTAATGTCATCCTTGACCTTATCAACTATATTCCTTTCAAATGAATCATGTAACCACCTGGGCGTTTATCAGATAGCGAATCAACAGATAAGACATTCGGTCATGCGTTATCATTTATTAGAACTCGTAGAAAATGATACTAATCTATACCAATAAAAAAATTGAAGAGTTTGCTTCGAATTTTCAAAGGCTCATGACTTCGATCCCCACCCGTTTCAACGTGTCTCAAATTTTTCTGAAATACGTTGAAATCTGGATATTAAATGGATGGTAATAATATCGAAATTTCCGTAATCACACACCACCGTCCACAGACGAAAAAGCCGTGAAGTTTAATCGCTTTTCGGTATAGTTAGCAAATCTTGGTTAGATGTTATATGACTTGGGTACTGCACCTCCCATCAAGTGATCCCTTCGTTTGTCCGTCCTCCTATATATATAAAAGAAGGTGTTGATAGACAATATATCGAGAAAGTCTTTAGGCTATATAACATGAAGACGAATTATGAAACCAAAAAATATGAAAGAAACCGATTCCTCTTTACGAATTCTTAAATATGTCCGCGACAGTACACGTCTTATAAGATAAAATCACAGGAAAAAAGCTACTTCGGGTGTTTTACTTAATTAATGATTTCGTTTACCTTTTACGGCTTTCATAGGCATCATCGTTGGAGTATTAAATTTATTTTTGTTTCAAAGGTTGACTACTATTAGTCCATTGAAATAAACTATCGTCGCTACGAGTCCCGCTTGCGTTATTTAAAATTTAGAGTTTTTTACACAGAGCTATACGTTTTGAAGCAATAAGAGCGCTTACCTCATAAAATATCCAAGCGCTGAAGACAGTTTGTACAAAGTTGTAAACAACGAGGATGTTTCTCAATTCGAACGGTTTTCGGTTGGCCATGAGCGCTGGGCCCAATTTCTTGGCGCAAAACGCGTAGCAGAGGCACGCCATCAAGGTGGGCAGCGGGGAAGACATCATTGGCCAGTCCTTCACTCTGGGATCTGCAATCATAAAGTTATAATAACATTAATAAGCTTTAGCATATCTTTACAATTTCTGTCCTTATAGGAATTGTTTTAGGTGGGTAGGTGATGAAAATTTGGTCAATAATTTTTTGAAGATAAACGGATCAGTGTCGGGTGTAATAAATGTCTGTCCGACGGCTTACTTTCTCATAATTTTACGTCATTATACTTACGCTACTAAAACAATTTAGAACTATCAAATTGTTTTAATACAAGTATCAACTTAAAAAACTTTTAAGTTAAACGACGTGCACTACAAAAAATTTAATATTTTGAAATAATTATCGTGCTGTCTATAGTTTACGCGAGTAATTAAGTTTAACTAATATATCGCGTTTAAAACCGTTAAAGTGTTTAATTTAAATAATCATCGTGTTTTAATAGTCCTTTTCAATGGATCAAGAAAATATGTAATTCGCCATTTTGAATCGGCAGCCATCTTGGATTTATAATGTTGATTTCATTATATGTATTGTATTGTCATCTAAATTAAATGTGTGTACCAAATTTCAGATCAATCTGACAACGGGAAGATGCTTTAATTTCAATTTCTAAAATTGGCCCAAATAAATAAATTCCGTACGGGTCGAGCTAAATAAAACCGTTTAAAAACAGCAGATGATCCTTTTTAAACCCTAGCTGTTTCATTAAAACAATTCGATAGTTCTAAATTTAAATTTAATAAAACGTGCGAAACGAAACGCCAAACAAAAACCGCAATTCCATTTTTAAAGATTACTGAGGCAAGTATTTAATTTTACGTCATCATTACGTAGTTCCCAGTAGATAAAGGTTTATTCATTTTAATTCTAAAGGAGCCTGGCAAACGCATTGTTTTGCTTAGCGTCAATTAGTACAGAAATAATTATACGAGATTCACTGACGCTCTATACTCCTACCATATGCAATTAAGTTTTATGCGTTTTTTAGAGATATTTTTTAACCAAACTATTAAAGCTACTAAATCTAGCCATTTAACATTCCAATCATACCAAGTGAGCACGAGACTAAGGATCTGGTCTCCTAAAAACGCAGTTAGTCGCATTCCGTCACGTGTTACAGTGATCAACTGGTGTTGTCTCTTTCAAACGATGACATGTTTGAAATCTTTAAGCATACCACTCTTTGCACCGCGTCTTATAACATATTCTTCCGGTCAACAAGAATTTTTGACGCATTGTAACGCGTTACGCAGTACGCGGCCCGCGGCGTTAACAAACAATAAACGTTATTTGCATATCAGGAGCTGTCAGTTTAAAGATGTGTAAAATCGAAGAACTATAATATCATTTTATCATTACGGAATTTTTTTTCTTAAAAATATTCCATACTACTTTGTTTGTACTTATTTAAAATAAAAGTCACGTATAATTGTTTGTGTTTAATCTAAATTATATTTTAAACTAGAAATATTTCTGTATATGTTTCTTTGCAAACCATTTTTGTAGGACCTATAGAGGGATATGCTGTTAGAACCAAATAAATGGCAAACAGTCGCATATTATTGACATAGTACATAATTTAATATTTTGGAGTATGCAAATTTTCACGTTTGTTTTAAAAACTAAACGATTTTAAAATTCACCAATAATGTTTTGATCGATGATTTTATCTCTGATGGACTTTGAACTTAGAATTATTGAGGCTAGTATTTTGCGAATATTATCCCCATCAGACTTAGTCGGATCATGTTGTCATTTTAAAGATAGTTAATTTGATAGTGGGTGACAGTCGGGAAACAGTAAAAGTTAAAATCATATTAAAACAAAGGGCTTGGTTGCACTCAGCGGCGTGCGTTAAATGTAGACTGACATTTAACGAGTACGAGTATAAAGTAAAGTTCCGCGTTCGAGCCCCGGCAAACAGATTTTCTGCTTGCAAGTAAATAAAAAGCAATCATAGATCAAATAAAGAGACAGGTGTTCTGAGCCCACCACGCTGTCGCTAAAGTAGTGAATAAGCTAGTAACTATCTCCGCGATCTCTGAAGCACCAACTCAAAAATTTATACAAGAAATTGTCTTACAAAGATTCCAAATGACGAAATATCATTTCACGCGACCCGAGACTCGAACCATGGACGTCGTGGTCTAAAGCTGAGTGTACAAATCACTAGCCGCTAGAACTAAACCCGAACTAACACCGAGCCTAATGAACTAAACGCGTCACGAATGATCAATCACATATGAAAATGGTGCTCAATAAAGTATGTCACACAAGTATGGCAAATAGATAAAACAGTTGCGATTGTGTAGAGGCAAAAACGGACGTCGAATGATTATGATTCCTCGTAACAGTTTACGTAAGAGAATTGAGCTCATCGTACACACCTTTTCTCTTGAGAATGGCGGTACGATAGTGCGACTAGATATAATACAATAATTATATCTATATCAGTTGATTTATTTCAACTTATATTAATGATTACGCTAAAAATACTGAACTGTCATTTTGTACCTCCAGTATGCAAGAATTTAATAAGAAAAATATAACTTTCTTTACCTGATAACAATTTTGGATAGTGTTCATAAGAACAGACATACTTTTTTATAAGTTACAGTATTAATAATAAAAACCCACGGCGGACCAAAAACATTTACGTGTTTCTCTGAACGAATTTATTTAAGTACAAGTATTGCTCGAGTAGAGAAAAAAAATGAAGTGTACGACACGGTAGCTCAGTTGGTTAGAGCGACAGCACGGAACGCCTTGGATTCCGTTTTAAGATCCGCCCGTATCGTATGAACTATATTATTTAAAAAAAATCTTCGGATCAAACGAAACTGAACGAAACAAGTTATCCTTTTTTCCTAAATTCGAATTCGGGTCTTCTCACACATAGCGAGGTAACGCACTTAAACATTGACCTATGGAGGTCGTTCATTCATATGGTTATAAAGTTCAGTTAATTTAAATGACCATTTTGAATTAAGAGCGGTTGCCTTTTGTTCTGCCTTCCGCTTCATTGTCTCGAATTCGTCAACATCGAGTTTTATTATGAGCTGTATATCAAAATGAACAACTCAGCGGTTTTCCTTCTAACAGGAATTGAGTCCTTCGTTATAATAACTATGACATTGCAAGCCTAATAACACGTATAAAGGTTTAATGATGCACTGTTTATTCTAACACCGTGAAACACATTTCGCTTACGTCTGTGTGTCTATTTCATTATAACTGGATTTACCAACTTTGTGGTTTAGTGGTAGTAATGCTAATTGAAAGGTCACGGTATCGATTCTTAGTGGTTAATGATAAAGGAGTACGGGAAGCATGGCTTCCACTTGATGGTAGGAGATATACCCCAGCCTATAGCATCTAAACAAGATGACTCTGTGGACGGTGGTTCGTGACCCGGACGGAATTTGGATATTCCTACGACCCCAAATAATATCCGGATTTGCAGACGAAGTCAGACATGTTTCAGAAAAATTATAAATTAATTAGAAAAATGTTGGACCCGATGGGGATAGAAGCTCTTTGGCAATTGCCTTTACAGCAATGAGCCGGTCGATTCTTGTTTAATAACTTCCTAGCCGAGTGATAAGAAAATAATCTTTTGTAGATTTTCGAATGCCCAAGGCAAAAATAAGTGATGTGTATGATACACAAACCTCTATTTGGATTTTCGTTCACATTCGAATAATAAAATACACCAGTAAAAACAAGCATACTTATAATATATTCTCGAAGGAAGTTTAAACTAATTTTAAAAATCCATTCAAGATAAAATAACTTAATCTGCAAAAAAAATAATCTAAAAAATGTGCAAATAACGGCTTAAATATATAATTCTCCATAGTTTTTCTGGTCAACGATTTGAGGACGACCATTAATTCCTTTCCGTAAAAAATATATTAATATGAATGATGTGTGCTATTGGTTTTTACATTATTGGTATTGTGGTGTAGAAAAAAGTGTTTTCAACGCGATTCAAATGTGTAGTCTTAAGAGTAGTTGAATAACCAAAGATCTTAATAATTTACAGGTAGAAGTATTATTCTAAACCCACCATGCCGTGTAGGATACAGGCATATCTATTCATCTGTTTTTACCTATCGACAAGTTAGGAGACAAGATCTTGATGTTCCCAAAGCAAATAGAACGAGTATCTACTCTGTATACAAAATTGAGTCATAGTAACTGACTACTGGTTCAAAAATGAACCTTCAGTTCCTTATAGTGTCAGAAAAGTGGAAAAAGAAGGAACAAAAATACTTTCAAATAAAACAATTTAACGGTTTAAAACGCGATATATATTGGTTAAACTTATTTGACAACAGAGACACACTTCATCTCCAGTCCCCGAGACCACTGCTGCAAAGCATCCGAAACGTCGGGCCGTAATTCAAATACATTTAACTAATATAGATCGCGTTTTAAACCGTTAAAAAGTTTTATTTAAATGTGTTCTACTCGCGTAAATGTAGTTTACAGTATTTAGTACAGACTAAATAAAAAAATTTTACCGTACAATTTTATTAATTAATTTCCATATTTTTTTATATAATCCATACCAACCTACTAATTATTTTAGATTTTTAACAGTTCGATTTACTTTTCGTATACAATTGAGGTGCAAATTTGAGTCTGAAATTTGATCACCATAGTTTTTTAAGACTTATTTATGTCTATACGACAAAACTATAACGAATATATGTTTTTCCATTATGTAATATTAAAAAGCCTTATAAATTAAATCTTAACTTACCGCCTCTGTTGTCCATGACATCTCTGTACCAATCAGATAGACTGTCCATTTTTTGTTTTGTCCTAGCAACTTATAATATCTGTAACAAGAAGAGAATAAAATTAATTTCTATAGGGACGGGCGCGGTACATAATTTTTATAATTAATCTGGTTAGGGCAAAGGTGCGGAATGGCTATTCGTGACTAGAGACTCATAACGGGGTCGTTTTGGGGCGGGCGATGGAAATAAAAACCCATACAAAACCTACTTTTCTAGGTACTTGGTCTAGTGGGGAGTTTTGACATGAAATTTTTCTACATACATATGTAGTCGTATTATAATCTAGACGTCTAGATAGCTTACAAGCTATTTATCGGAATCAAAACGTTAATATTAGATTTAATATTAAAAATAGGTAACATTATTATAAGTCGCAGTCGTGGTCTTAGTTAAAATTAGTCCAAAATAAATTTATTACGGTTTAAAACTTACTAATTTTATTACTTTGCTTACTATTACTAAATATTATTAACAAAATATTGTGAATGTGCTTCTCAAATACTGTCTATAGTTAACGAGAGTAGTACACATTTAAATAAAACACTAACGGTTTAAAACGCGATTTTCAAATAAGTTTAACTAATATATTGCGCTTTAAACCGTTAAAGTGTTTTATTTAAATATGCTTCTCAATTCGTAACTAGTAGTATTCCATAGTTTAATTTGAAAAATACTTGAGATTGTATAGAATATAATACTGTTTTTTTTGTTAATAAACTGTAAGAAAAAAGTTGTACATCTTTCATCGAACTTTAGATTTTTTTGTTATATTTCGCGTTTTAAACCGTTAAGAGATATATTGGAGCGCGAATGTAGGTATTATAGGGAGATTGAAACAATGGAATCAGTAAGATGTGTGGTTTCATCAAGTTGTGTGGTTTTGCTAAATATCTAGAGGTTTAAATAAACTCAGTTTTTATAAGCACTGTAATAATATATTTATTCCGAGTAGTGATGCCATAACAAATAACTATTATTGTCGAGGAAAATAAATAAGTCGCGGACGTTATGGAAACTGTGTTATTTAAAAACCAATATTTGTTGACCAATAAAGAATTCTGTTGACACTACACTGTGTATCTCTTTATATTCCAGTGACCGTGTGGAACGATGTTGATCGTATGGCGGAAGCGTCGCCGTATTACGGCACTGTCCTTAAAAACTAGCTGGCGATCCATCAAAGGTGATAAAAAGTCACGTCGACATTCGTCACTACTCACTAGCACCATTCGCGTACGTCGCAAATAATTCGCGACGTACGCGAATCTATGTCACCGACTTCAAAATTGCCCCCTGTTCGCAGATTTCGCATACGGAATGAGTGATTAAGAGAAGGTCCGGTTATTGCGACACCGGTTAACACGATAAAGGGGGGTGACTTAATGCAATCGCCCAAAACCACATCTCGATATAATTTCTTACATAACACGATACCTGTTTACGCTCAATATTGACGCAAAATATAATGCTACTTGTGTTTTTAAAATCCAATTTCCTAATTTTATAGTACACCACTTCTGCGTCTTGCCTGTTGAAATCGCGGACGTCGAGCCAAACAACTCGCGTAACTCAAGACGCTCAGAAACTGACCCACCATTATCGAATTAGTAAACAAATCGCCCCGCGCAAATATTGCTTTAGTTAGCGGGATACAAGCACGTATATCTAAGATTTCCACCACTTTCGTGCTATTGTCACGTTCCATGAATGCTATCGCACACCACAATTGCCCGATTGTGCTACACTTAATAATATGGCCGCGAAGCACAAACATGTAAGTAATTATTGCGGCTACAATTGGCCGGCAACATTAAAAATCGGAAATCCTTGGGTCAAGCGGGTTCGTGCATTCAGGAGGTTACAGCCGATGTCGACCGCTATTGCTTCCTCATCAGCCCGTGTCCTCAACTGGAATCGTCTGCTGCGTACCACTTCAAAAACGGTCTCAAACCTGCGTACCCCTTATTGTAGCGATTTACACACTTATAGATACGAAGTTTGTGTGTGTTACCTCTTCATGCTTTGCCCAATTTTGAATATAGTATATAAGTAGTTCACAACCTGGATTAACAGATAGGCATGAACCGCGGGGCACAGCTAGTTATAAATAAAAAAATGAGTTTAAACATTTATGCAACGAATGTGATAAATGTGCGCATTATTCTAAGCTTAGTACTTTTACAAAGATAATCTTTATATATATATATATTTTTTTAATTTGTTCTTGTTCTTACTGATAGCCGTATGTACTTTTTGATGCAACTTGACGTACCCCTGAGTATACGCGTACCGTTAAACATGAAGACTGGTCTAAATCAACAATCAGAAGGTACACGGAACAATGAAGCAGCTGAGCTTACGCAATTACGCTCGACCTTGACTCGGTCCAGGCGAAAGTGGCATCCACTTACACTTGAAATAAACTGGGTATTTGGAACTGACGTTACATAAGACGCGCCGGCTAACGCATCGCTGTACTAGGTTATCCTGGTGATAATAAAATTAAAACTAAGCACTCGGTCAGTTGGTCAGCGAGAGTTATGCAACGTCGGTAACTCGAATTGTGCAACGTGCTTGAGATCGCGGAATTTTCTCAAAAACGCCAGTGCTCGAAGGAAAGAGGTGACAGTGGTTCGTCTCGTATTTGCGTTCACTTTCACTGTGTAGTATTGATTACGGCTTGCGTGAGATAGTACGTCACTATTAAAGGTGTTTACTTCTTTTGAAACCAAAAAATAAAATCAACGAAAGGCCTGGTTAGTCTGTTGGTACCAGCTCGTTATTAAAGTAGGTCAGTCTCATGTAGTTAAATCCTGTCCTCTCCAACCAAGGCGCTCCAAGCTGCGCCGGCGCCGGTAAAGCCGCGTGCAGCCAGTACGCAAGCACGATTACGTAATTGTGCGTTGAGGCAAGAGCGGGTGGCTCGCCCCGCGGAACCGGTGACCCAGTGCCACACACCCCACTCCTCAACATTTATCCCATAGAACGTTCTCAAACATTGCGTTACACATGTTACGTGCCTCCGAGTACGAAACGTTACTCCGAAGCGAAATTTCACTCGATTACTGAAGGTGAATACCAAACAGAGCGTTTCATTATAAATGGCAAAAAATTAAAAATTCTTCCACTTTGCAATTAGTGTTTTTAACATGGACTACTTTTCTAGGTTACAGTTTGAATGAATTCGAAAAACCGTGTCAAATTCCATATTAAAAAAAGTAAAAAGAAAAATGATTTTTATATATTAATATATATAGTCGGATAAGATGTGAAGAGCCAAATGTCAAATTCTCATAGATCAACATTCATTTACATCACAAATATACAATTTTATCTCAACAAAAAAAAAACAGAATATAAATAATGCACTCGTCAACAAGTCCCGCTCGTATCGTCCATTTTTAAATCTAAATATATTTATTTTTTAACCCAACAGTCTAATGTAACTGATAAAAACTAACGTCGTTATTAAAAGACACCGTTATCTTATCAACGCTTATCATTAAATAAACTAGGAGTTTAAAATTTTTGCTAATTTTGATGCAAGTGGCCTAATTTTGATGCATACCTGATATTGTTAAAAACAAAACGATATTGTTATAACACAATTATGACAAAACTAACGTGTTAAACTGTTAAAAATGTTATTAAAATGTGCTAAGCGAATAGCCTAAACAACAGACAATACTTAATTATTGAACCATATAGGTGTCGAACGCTAAGATTCGTTGTTTAATAATTTCCAATCCCATTTATATTAGTTGCATCTAATAAATTAAAAATCGATTATAAATTGAAAAAAATTACGACTCTAGCGTATTATTACAGTGTAAGCAGAATAAGATTATCACTACCTATCAATATGAAGATAGTTAAGATAACACGTCCTTCACTTTTAGTTTTCGTCGAAAATCAACGGCTATCTTTTATTAACGAACCAGGAATTGAAATACAAAAAAACATCGCGACATGCAAGACTCATTAAAATATTAATTGCAACATTAATCTTTATTAGTTTCAAGTATAAGTTTAATGTACATTTATTTTTTATGAGTAATTGTTATGAACTTCGACTGCTTCTACTGTTGGGTACTAAACTTAGTTTTCAAGTAAAATATGGTAGAGTTCAAATTAAAAAAAATAATGCATTATTTTAGTGTTGATTGTAAATGGTCAATAGATTTTTCTTATATAAATTTCAATCACCAAACGACACATTTCCGCCCAATCTCGATCTGTGTTAATTTAATGAGACTAGTTTTTACACATACCCTACAATTTTAACCGGTTACCGAAATATTTAATGATTGGCATATTCCGTAAACTGGATTAAGCCTCTCGTAATTTAATACGCTTAAACATAAAGTAAAACAAACTCGTTCGGAATTTTCCCTGAGCGATCAGTAATGTTTCAGTGGTTTTATTACATTCTTTTGGAGATTGTTCGAGGCACCTAAATATTCCGTCTGTTTCACCGACATTTTAGTGCGGGCTGAAGGGGGGCAATTCTTAAAAAGTGACATTATTTACAAGTCGACGTAAATATCGCTTATTACAGAATTGCCACCCTGAGAGTGTCCGTAATGTGACATCGCGTAAGCCTTACGTCAGTTGTCATATCAAATTACGAACGTGAGTGCGTTACGAACGCGTTACTATCATCGAAACGTAAGATACATGAATAATTTCGTTCGCGCAAGAGAAGACCAAAAAGGCTCTGTTCTATACAAATATAACATTGAGATATATCTATACTAATATATTATGAATCTGGAAAGTTTGTTTGTTTGAATGCGATGATCTCAGGAACTATTGGTTGGTAATTTTTGTGTTGGCTAGAGCATTCATAGATGCTATAGGCTATAAAACATCGCGCTGCAACCGACGGTGGCCAAGAAACAGCGGGACAAAATTGGGAAAATTATTCAAGATACATAAAAAATACATATCAAAGAATTATCTTTAAATGATCTAAAAAATGTCCGCGACAGTATATCTTTTAAAATTAACTTGCAGAAACGACGGGACGCGGACAACTTCGTGGATAACAACTTAGACTTATAGATTTGAACAGGAGGTTTGCAGAAACAAATGCTGATGCCCAAAGTAACTATTCTACGTGGACGAAGTCGCTGACACAGCCAGTAACATATATGTAAAGATAGACCATAGAGAATAGATAAATCTTACGATTCTTAATCAAGTCACTACTTAAAACAATTGCTAAACTTATATAACAGCATAGTAACCGCTGATCAAGATCAATCATTCGTATCAGCGATTTTATTAAGGGCTCATTTGAAACGATAAGACTGTAAACAGCTTGAAATTACTGCAATAGAAGCGATAATAGCTAATAGAAAAACAATCAGTACACGGCGATGTACAGCGCATTAAGATTTTAATTATAAAAACTTATCGTTTGTGTATAAAAGAAACATCACAAGAAATAAAAGGCACGAGACCGTAGACCAGACGTAGATCCAACTTCAGATTGTACGAAATGTACTTACAATTTAATTTTAACGACAGAAAAAAAAGCAATTCTAGAAAGAAACTCAAAATGAATAATTATTAAACAAGAACTATATACATATTATTGTCTTTCGGGCTGTTCGGCCGATGTGAGCGAGAAGTTCTATCTCGATTGCTCGAAGAATTGCACAATTCTTCGAGCAATCGAGGGGTCAACATCTCCTGAAGATGCCGTCCACACGTGGTGGCGAAACGTCGAGAACCTCTTCTCGCTCACATCGGCTGAACAGCCCGAAAGACAATAATATGCTGATCGATGGCCGTGAAAGCCTTACTCAATTTATTAAGAACTATATAGGTTATTATTCACTACGACCCAATGTTTTGGACGCTGATTAGCAGCCGTGGCCATGGGGTGCATGAAGATAGCGTATATAATAAATTCTAATGTCTCCGCTAACCAGGTGGCGCTAACGTATACATTTGAACGGTCGTGGAATCGATCCCCAACCCCCCCGGATCCGACATGTTTCTAGAGGGTTTATAATTTTTCTGAAACATTTTGAACTTCGTCAGGAAGTTTGGATATGGTGATATCGAAAATCCGGGTCACAAACCACTGTCCATAGATAAAATGCCGTGAAGTTTAATCGCGTTTCGTTTTCAGACTGTTGATTTCCGAATATCCAAGGCCAAAAGAGATCGACGGCTCATGATGTTATATGGCTGAAGTATTGGACAAATGGACACCATGCTTGTAATGTCCTCCTATATCACAAAAAAAGAGAATAGTGTGCACGTTTTTAATCGCGGTAAGTTCTTTTTTTTAACTATATTTTACTAGCGTAAACTACAGATACAGCATAAATTAGGAATCTGTAACATAATGCGCATTGTTTGCATTCTTATCACTTGCATACAATTCGCATAGTTTATGTGTACAGCCCTTAAAAAACAACAATACACCGCCGACGACAAACCATCATTTTACAAGTACTACATTTGCAGTTATATCCTAACTAATATTACGGTTAAATAAAACAATTTTAACGGTTTAAAACGCAAATATTCACTTATTTTTAATTTATCTACGGCCCGACGTCTTGTCACGGCTACAAAGCATCCGTGGTCTAATTACACCGTTAAAAGTGTTTTATTTAAATGAGTACTAAACGCGTTCAAACTACAGAACAACTAATAGTAAAAAAAACAACTAATTTATTAGTTACCAATATTACTTCTTATCGTAGTGTCAAAGTAAATTATATTTGATATTAATTTATTAACATTTGATACAAAATGTAAGTTTACGGACAATACTTTCAATTGCAAATTATAAATGAAATGCCAACAATTTTGAACTTTACCGACTCAGCTTTTACTTCTGAGACCTAGTAAATGTCAAAATTACAATGCTAACATTAGTGAGTTGACAGTCCAGAAATTTGGTCTCTCCATAATCCATCGTATTAACTGTTATAAGTAAGAGATAGGGAAGTTTATAAGAGGATCCACAAAACATTGCTTTGATACTTTCATATCCAATACGGAATAACAGTACCTTGTCCTAATGTTACAAGCATAGGAGATAAGGAAATACTAACAAAACCCAAATGTTAGCGACACGTGAACGTCAAATCAAATATTTGCTATATGTTTACTATATCCGATTGAAAACAAACAAAATAATAATCACAATCTATGCACATAAGAATCGTTGGTACTATAAATTATTTACACAAATAATAAAAGCCGTGTTCCTAAGCGAAAAGTGCATTTTCCAAATAGTGACCAAAACTTTATGGTTTAACCAACGCATATATTAGTTAAACTTATTTGGTAAATAAAAGTTTTAACTGGTCCGAAACGATATCGCGTCTCAAACCCTAAAGTGTTTTATTTACATTTGAAATACTCGCGTAAACTATAGACAGTATTTACTTTCAACGGGTTAAAACACGAATTATTTTTGCTAGCTTTTTAAACGAGTCCCCCGTGACTACGACTATTGGAAAATATGCGAAACATCACGTAGTAGTAAAAAAATAAGTCTCTATTTCGACGTTAAAGACGATTTAATATATATTTATAATATAAATCTGAAGAGTTTGTTTGTTTGTTTGAACGTGTTAATCTCAAAAACTACGGGTTCGAATTGAAAAATTATTTCTGTGTTGCTCTAACCATTTATCGAGGAAGGCTATAGGCTATAAAACATCGCCCTGTGACTTATCGGAGCGAGAACTGAAAATTGGGAAAATTATTCATGATTATGCTGTTCCGATGATTATGGGCTGCAAAAACGGTTCAGGATACCCAAAAAATATATACGGACTCTATATGTCTATTTATTTAAGATTAACTTGCAAGAACAACGGGAAGGGACGCGACCGACGTCGTGGGTAACAGCTTAAGTGTATAAAGGTTAAGGGGTTGATTCTGACGTTCGCGCGACAAAGTCGCTGACACAGCTAGTCGAACATAAAATATTTAACGAC